TTGGTCTCTGGTAAATATATATCTCATTGGCAATCATATCACATCCCCCTTTGGTCTCTGGTAAATATATATCTCATTGGCAATCATATCACATTCCCCTTTGGTCTCTGGTAAATATATATCTCATTGGCAATCATATCATATCCCCCTTTGGTCTCTGGTAAATATGTATCTCATTAGCAATCATATCACATCCCCTTTGGTCTCTGGTAAATATATATCTCATTGGCAATCCTATCACATCCCCTTTGGTCTCTGGTAAATAAATATCTCATTGGCATTCATATCACATCCCCTTTGGTCTCTGGTAAATATATATCTCATTGGTAATCATATCACATCCCCTTTGGTCTCTGGTAAATATATATCTCATAGGCAATCATATCACATCTTCTTATTTTTATATTAAGCGCATTATACATCATTTATTTTGGTTTTGAAATATAGTTTTCAATAGTGTTAAATAAAAGCTTTTGATTTGTTTTATTAGGAAATAGAGAATAAAATGAAGAAACCAGTTGTAAAGAAGACATTTGAGGACGACGAGGATGAGGGTGGAATAAATATTCAAGTTGCTAGGCAACGCATGATGGAGGAAGATAAGTTTGATAAACAGTTGTTCAGAGAGAGGATCAAACAAAAACATAAGGTAAAGGGCCATAAAATACTTTTTAATCAGTTCTGTGCCTTGTTGTACTGAGTATGAATTTTACTACCTAAAAGAAATTACTGTTGATTCATTATTATTCCTTGGATACCAATTTTCATGGATTTTGTGGGTAAAGGTATACATAGGCTTGTTTGCAGATTTTGGGAAATCCAACATCCACAAAAATTGGTACTCACGAAAATAAATGAATCCACAGTATTCAATTGAAAAGGAGAGATATGGGTGATTAATTCATTATACAAAATCACTACACACACATGACAAAAACCCAAAGTAAAAGACAGCACTTGATTACTGTTTTTCATCTCAAGGTCACAGTAGGGCCTTTTAGAAGGAATAAAAGCTGACACCTCGAGGCAAGTTCAAGATGAAGCTGATTTGATCAGATTTAATTGCTAGATGTGTATAACACCACACCTGTGTATTTCAGACCTGACAGAGGCAGGGTAATATAGACAAATTGCAGACTAGAATATACATTTGAGTTTGATTCCACAAATTATATTGACTTCTGTTAAAGTGCAAATAAAAAATAATTGTACATTTGACTTTAATTGACAATTTTAAAACACATAATTTTATCAGAACAAACATCTAATTAACCTTCATACCAATTTGTTAATCCACTGTATGCAATATATGGGTATATGGGTTGTAAAATTAATTGCATATGTTCATATTTTTAGGAAGAAAGAATAAAGAATAAAGAGAAAATGAGAGAAAAGAACAAGAAGAAAGATGATGATGATGATGATGTAAGATTTTTGCCTTGTAAAACTGTTTATGAAATAGAAAAATTGAGTATTTGTCTTCTGAAATGCCTAAGATACAGATGAAGTTTTAATTCTTGATCTACAGTCTAGCTTCATAAATATATGCAATGTTTCTGTCAAGCAATATGAGTGTCATCACAAACAAATTGTAATGGTAAAACTGTGCTTTTTAAAGATTACTTACAATATCGTAAACCATCCCATAATTTTAAACAAATGCTAATTACTAAAAGGTATACCAGATTTCTTTTTTGAAAAAAGAGAGGACACTCAATGTTATTTTTTCTCAGGAAATCCACTTTTAACCAAGCTAACTTATATACTTTTCCTTAACTCATGTCATGGTTTTTGTAAAAGAATTTTTAGTTAACAAAATAGGCAATATTTTTGTATTTAAATTATTTCCAGTAGCCATATACATCAAGTGTACTATGGATTTGTTAATGTTCGTGGGATACCAATGTTCATTGATTTTGTGGGTAGGGGAAAACCATGAATTCAAATACTCAACAATTTAAAAATACTTTGATAGGAACAAAAAATGAAACCATGAAATTAAAGACTAGAAATAGGATTTTTCTCCAATCAAGAAAATAGATACCAACAAAAATATTAAGTGCATCTGCATTAATCTGAAAAAGATTACATGTATACTTCATTGCTCCAACTAGATGAGAATCTATCAATAAAAATAAACTTTGCCTTTTGAGAATCAGATAGTTTACCCTGAATGCATTTTGTTGATTTACCTTACAAAATAAATATCAAACAGAAAAGAGGTTTAATATTATACATGTTCAAGAAAGGGAGATAACACTGATTTTATAACTTGCAGTAAAAAAAATAATCAGATAACAAAATTCGTAAGAGTTCCGCGGAACCCAGTGTCTCGCCTACTTTTGCTGTTAATCACAGGCTCGACAAAAATGAGGAAAAAAATTAATAAAAATATTCCTCTCTATAATATATTTTGATTGTAAGTAGCTTCTGTCCAAGTTTGGTAAAAATCCAGGATAGTTTATGAATCTAATAAATGTTTTAAAAACTTAAACTGCAGACTGCACGTAATGTTAACTGGAAGAAAAACTAAGTCCATTTATAAGTAAAATACGGAAAAAATGGAACAAAATTTTAACAAAATTTCCTTCTAGATACTAGCCTTTAATCATAAACAACCATCTGTCCAAGTTTGGTACAAATCCAGGATAGTTTAAGAAAGTTGTTAAAATTTTAAAAACTTTAACCACAGAGTGAATGTAATGTTAACTGGCAGAAAAACTAAGTCCATTTATAAGTTAAATACGGAAAAAATGGATTTTTTTTTTTACAAAATTTACTTCTGGATACTATCTTATGATCATAAATAAGCTTCTGTCCAAGTTTGGTAGAAATCCAGGATAGTTTAAGAAAGTTATTAATATTTCAAAAACTTTAACCACAGAGTGAATATTTGTGGACACCACCAACGACGACGCCGACGACGGAATGTAGGATCGCTTTGTCTCACTTTTTCAACAATAGTCGAAGGCTCGACAATAAAAAAAAGGAAAAGAACCTGACAAATCAAGTACATGTTGAAACAAGAAGTAATGTTTATAATTTAATATGTTATTCTTTATAACAGGAAGAAGGTGTAGTGTTTGAAGGAACAGAAGATACAGACCAGCTTATAGCAGAGTTACCTGACCCTGACAAGATCTATGGAAGAGAAAGTGGAGAGGAAGATGACAGTGAAGAGGAAGAAAGTGATGATGAAGGGTATTTGTTAAAACAATTCTTTAAAAAAATCACTTCTGACAGTTAAGCCTTTTTGCAGAGGGCAACTTTGTTATTATACAACTTAGCAATATCTTTGAGTGTGGAGTATGTGAGCTTGCTCACTATTGTCATAAGTTTTGATAGTAAAAATATACTTAAACATGACCAGAACAGATAGATGTAAAACTAATCTGGCATTATCCAATGATGTCTGATTTACAATAAGTGTGCGTTATTTTTTATTTTTTAATACAGTTATTTCTACAACAACCTAGTAAATTCCTACTACAGGTGATGCATTGATGTTTATTTTTCTCTCAAATTTATGATTTTTCAGAACATTTATATCTATACAAGGTAACAAAACAAATGTAAACAAGGTTCAATAGCCTGATTATTATGGACCTTTTTGGTGTCAAATTGCAGTGTTCATGTCAAAATGTATGCAAAAGTGTCAAACATGGTAACTTCTGAGAAAAGGCCAATGGAAAGTTTTATGGTTACTTCTGAGAAAAGGCCAATGGAAAGTTTTACAGTGATAAGTATAAGTAGACATGTCTTCTTCAGAAATACATTTTGTGTAATTACAGAATTATTCAATTTTTGAAATAAACTTTTTTGATTTTGTTTTTCAGTCCAAGGAAGAAAGCTAAGATAGACTTTGATTCTGATGATGAAGATTCAGAGAGTGAATATAATAGTGAAAAAGACAGCAGTGATAATGAAGACAATTCAGATGGAGATTCTGTCACCATGGATACTGGGTTAACAATAGAGGCAGATGAAGAATTAGCATTAAAGTTATTAAAAAGTTGAAAAAATAAACTTTTTGTATTTTTCTATTATGTGGACCATTTGTTCAAGTTTGTAAGCAAATTATTTATCTTTAGATCTTGATTTGTTTGGATTGAATTTGCAGGCACTGTATTCTGTAAAAGTTTGTTTGAATTACATTTTAAAGTTAAAAGTCATGTAAATACATGTTTTAAGCTTTTTTTTGAAATTTAGAAGTTTTTGATAGTTTAGAAAATCGAAAGCAATTGGGAAAATTTAGACGAGGTAACCAATGTTCAAATCTTTAAATCGTTTAGGAAGGGACAAATCAAGGTAACAAACAAAAACCAAGGCAATCACATGAACTCCAGAAGGAACAAGACAGGGTGCGTTGACAGGGTAAACCTCCTGTCAAAACAAGAGCAACCAAAACATGCTATGGTGAACTTTACCCTAGAGAGATAGAACTCTTAATTTATGTTAAAGTGCCAAATACCTTTTTTCTCTCCATCAGAGGTGAATGGATGATATGAAGATTATCATGATTCAAACCTTGTGTCTCTTGCGTCTACCAGCCTTAATTTAAAAAGAAAACAAACTATCATTTATATTATATTCAAAGAGAAAAAATTACTGTGAAAGCTTCATTTGTAAGTTTGGAAGGCATCTGAAGCATGTAATAATGTTGGAAAACTTACTGTTTTTTAGAGATTGGAACTATTTTTCCAATTCTTTCTTAAGCATCACCTCACAAACCAGGATGTAACCATGTTAGCAGGGAAATCAATATACACTGAAATATAGTTCCCATTACTTCTCGTGTCTATGTAAATATAAACAAATGATCTTATGGAAATTCCAATAAAAAAATACATCACTTCGCTCTGAAAAATTCCTCTTTGCAACTATATCAGAAATCATTCATGACAAATTTTTAGAAAAAAAATGTAACATCAGTGCAATTTCAAAATAAGAATTTGCCTCAAAAAATAGTATAGAAATTAAAATTTCGCTTTGTCACCCTACAACCATTCATTCATTCATCTTGATTTATATGATTTTTGTCGAGCCTTCGACTTTAGTCGAAAAAGCGAGACACAGCGATCCTACATTCCGTCGGCGTCGTCGTCGTCGGCGGCGTCCACAAATATTCACTCTGTGGTTAAAGTTTTTGAAATTTTAATAACTTTCTTAAACTATCCTGGATTTCTACCAAACTTGGACAGAAGCTTGTTTATGATCATAAGGTAGTATCCAGAAGTAAATTTTGTAAAAATAAAATTCCATTTTTTCCGTATTTTACTTATAAATGGACTTAGTTTTTCTGCCGGGAAATATTACATTCACTCTGTGGTTAAAGTTTTTAAAATTTTAATAACTTTCTTAAACTATCCTGGATTTCTACCAAACTTGGACAGAAGCTTGTTTATGATCATAAGATAGTATCCAGAAGTAAATTTTGTAAAAATAAAATTCCATTTTTTCCTTATTTTACTTTTAAATGGACTTAGATTTTCTGCCAGGAAACAACACATTCACTCTGTGGATAAAGTTTTTAAAATTTTAATAACTTTCTTATACTATTTTGGATTTGTACCAAATTTGGACAGAAGCTTGTTTATGATCAAAAGCTAGTATCTAGAAGGAAATTTTGTAAAAAAATAAATCCATTTTTTCCGTATTTTACTTTTAAATAGACTTAGATTTTCTGCCAGGAAACAACACATTCACTCTGTGGTTAAAGTTTTTAAAATTTTAATAACTTCCTTATACTATTTTGGATTTGTACCAAAATTGGACAGGAGCTTGTTTATGATCAAATGCTAGTATCTAGAAGGAAATTTTGTTTTCTTCCAGTTAACCAAACTTGGACAGAACCTTCTTACAATCAAAAGATAGTATCAAGAGGAATATTTTTATTGATTTACTTCCTCATTTTTGTTGAGCCTGCGATTAACAGAAAAAGTAGGCGAGACACTGGGTTCCGCGGAACCCTTACGAATTTTTAACAATTTCAATACAAAATCCTTTGAAGATTTAGAAAGAAGTATACCAATATTTGAATATAGCACAACAACAAATATTGCAACTTAAAGATAAACTGCTATGCAAATTCAGTGACCTACTGACATTGTAACACATTAGCTCATTTTAGCTACTGACAAAAAATGCTTATCTTTCTATAGAACTTCAACAATGCAAAATGCTAAAGTGCTAGTTCAATGGGTTTTTGTCCACCAACATACCTCAATGGAAGATTAAAATATTATTGAAATTATACTCACAACTCTGGCAATCTTTCCACCAGTGATTTCATTCTCTTTGATATTTTGTGTTGTTGATTTGTTGTCTCATTGACTTTTTACTGCAAGGGTAAAGATACAATTAACTGGTTAAAGCTTTTACTTAATTAAGTGTATTGTTAAATTATGTGTTCACCTGCTAGAATTTAACTTGTAATTAGCAGGCTGCTTTTTATGGTAATATCATTAATAAAGCTAATAAGTAAAGGAATTGTCTTTCAAATCTTCTTCTTCTGAGCCTCAGTAGTCATTAGTCTAAGTGGTTAATCTATACTGCCAACAGTGAGGTTATGAGTTCAACACCCGCAATTGACAAGGTGGATAGAGCTGCTATTTTGATTGACTAGGATAGCCAGTTTTCCTATCGAAGATTGTGACTCTCTCTGGACACTCCAGATTCCTCCACTTATAAAAACTAGCCACCATGAAATAGCCAAGAGTGCTAAAAGTGGTGTTAATCACCAACAATCAATCAATAAACCCCTCTGTCTTTGGTTCAATAGACTTATTGGTAAAAGGTTATAATTACACTGTTGTTCAATCACTTTGTCTAGTATTTTGGTGGGATGAACATTAATTTGCTAATTTAAAGTTTGATGCAATACTAGAATGTTTTGCTTTGGTTTTCTACATTGAAAATCTAGTTTCTTCTTGTCATTGGATGGGATCAGGTCTTCCAATACTATTTATAAAGTTGCCGTATGAAATCTTCTTTGAAGTATAGCAATCGATATCAGCAGGTTACAAGTACTGTGAGCATTCATTGATTCAATTATAATAATGTTCATTATTTTTTGCCGTGTTGCGAAACAAGTGATTCGGGCTAGCAATGAAAAGTCTACTTTTTGTGTAATCAACTCCTACTACAGTTTTCAACAAGATCCTTGAAACTTCACAGAACGATTGAAAAAATATTGAAGTTGTAATCCTGCTATCATGGAATTGTTTGATGAATTCTTTCACATTTTCCAGACTTGGAAACTTGTAGTAGTATTTCAGCAAAATTATAAAAGATATTACCTTTGTGTATCAACTCCTCTTTCAGTGTCCAGCGTAGATCCTTGAAACTTAATAGAATGATTGCACATGTATTGAAGTTTCTTTGGATGTTTTTGCGTTTTTGCCTAGTATCTGAAAAACTATAATAGATAGATTGAAGCATACATATGCAAAAATGATCAGCAAGATTAGATTAGAGTTCTTGTTCTTTAATGACGATTTTTACTAATATGTTATGTTTTTCCATATTATTTTAAAAACTAAAAAAGATAGACAATTTAAAAGGAAAAATGATCAGCAAGAAAAGATCTACAAATAAGCCAAATGTTTCCCAAATCGTTAGTAGACTCTTTATATGAGTGATTGCCCTTAAATGACAACATGTTAACCACTTTTGGTGTTTTGGGCAAAAACTAAAGAAGATAGAAAGAAACTGAAAACAGAAAAAAACGGTCAGCAATACAAGATCAACACAAAGGAGATTTTTTGTCATGAATTCTATTCTAGTCCACAATGTTGGAGAGTGTCCATTGTTGAAGATGCACCTAACCCTAGGTGAGCAACACAGGCTCTTGAGAGCCTCTAGTTACAGTTTGTTCTTATTTTGTGTCGTTACACCACTGTCTCTGATTAGGGGGAGAATTAATCATCTTAAACCCAGTCACATGCTTTTTGTGCCGGAGCTGTAATTCAGTGGTTGTCGTTGGTTGCTGTCTGCAATATTTGTTTTTCGCTTTTTTTGTGTCGCCTGCGACAAAAATAGTAGAATGCGAGACGTACAGATTACTATCTGGCAGCAGCAGCGCTGATGTCGTAAACTATTGGCTTAAAGCTTCATATTTCAGTAGGTATACGACCTTATTGCTTTATACCTTGTATGCAGATGCATTATGTTTCAAAGTTTCTGTCTGTCATATGTCCTTTGTTCTAGGGTCTTTTTTTGTCGAGCCTGCGACTTCTTTTTGCAGAAAGCGAGACATAGGGATAGTGATCCGGCAGCGGCGGCGGCGTTAACAAACTTCTTAAAAGCTTGATATTTCAGAAGCTTAAAGACCTGGATGTTTCATACTTTATATATAGATGCCTTCTGATATGAAGTTTCCGTCTGTCATATGTCCATTGTTCTTGACCTCATTTTCGTGGTTCAGTGACTACTTGAAAAAAAAGGTTAGATTTTTTGTAATGTCTATTTCTCTCTTATTATGAGTAAAAGGATAACTATATTTGGTAGGTGCGTACTTTGCAAGGTCATCATGCTTATCAGACAGTTTTCACTTGACCATATCTCAGATACTATAAGCAATAGGTCTACTATATTTAGTTTATGGAATGATTGTAAGGTGTACATGTGCAATTGGCAGGTGTCATCTGACCTTGACCTCATTTTCATGGTTCAGTGGTTAAAGTTAAGTTTTTGTGTTTTGGTCTGTTTTTCTAATACTGTATATTTGGTGTATGAAAATATTTTACTATGTACATGTAAGTCTGACAGATTTTATTTAACCTTGACCTCATTTTTACGGTTCAATTTTAATGTTAAATTTTTGTGTTTTGGTCTGTTTTCTTAAACTATACGCAACAGGTTAACTATATTTGGTGTATGGAATGGTAAGGTGTATATGTCTGTCTGGCAGTTATCATCTGACCTTGACCTCATTTTCATGGTTCATTGGTCAATGTTAAGTTTTCATTTGTAAATTTGTTTCTTAAATACTATATGTAATAGGTCAACTATATTAAAGCATGTAATGCTTGTAAGGTGTACATGTCTGTCTGGCAGGGTTCATCTGACCTTGACCTCATTTTCATTGTTCATTGTTAAGTTTGCATGGTTTGGTTTGTTTCTTGTATACTATAAGCAATATAAATAGGTCAACTAAATTTGGTGTCTGGAATGAGTTTAAGGTGTACATGTATTTCTGGCTTGGTTCATCTGACCTTGACCTCATTTTCGTTGATCATGTTAAGGGTATGTGATATCTGTAGTCAAACTTTATATTTAGGACTATCAACATAAATTCAATGGTCAGTAAAGCAGGCGAGACATTTCAGCGTGTGCACTCTTGTTTCTTTTCATGGTTCATCGACTGCTTAAAAAAAAATATGAATTTATAAGATTATAGGTTCCATCTTACCTTGACCTCATTATCATGATTCATTGGTCAATGTTAAGTTTTTGTAATTTGGTCGGTTTCTCAGATGCTATAAGTAATAGATCAGCTGTATTTGGTGTGTGGTATGATTGTATGGTGTCCATGTCTGTCTGACAGGTTTTATCTGACCTTGACCTATTTTCATGGTTCATTGGAAAGTGTTTTTGTGTTACGGTCTATTTCTCATACACTTTAAGCAATAGTGCAACTTTAATTGGTGTATAAAACGAATGTAAGGTGTACATGTCTGTCTGGCAGGTTTGATATGACCTTGACCTCATTTTGATAGTTCATTGTTCAATATTAAGTTTTCCTGGTTTTGTCAATTTATCAGATACTATAAACAATAGGTCAACTTATTTTGTGTATGGAATGATTGTTATGTGTACATAATTGTCAGGCAGGGTTCATCTGACCTTGACCTCAATTTGTAATTAAAGGTCAGTTTCTCAGATGCTATGAACAATAGGCTTACTATATTTGGTGTGTGGTATGATTGTAAATATGCACGTGTCTGTCTGCCACCTCTGATCTTGTCCTCGTTTGCGTAGATCATTGTTTATATTACGTTTATGTTATTCTATTAGTTAAACCTTCATTTTACAGACTTTCAACATAAGTTTAATCATGGTAAGTAAAGCAGGCGAGACATTTCAGCATATGCACTCTTGTTGTTTTATCATACAGTTGGTTTTCTCGTTAAATTGTTTAACATTCTTGCATGCTGATGCCTTTTATATTTTACTTTACGTTTTATGTTTTGTTCATTGTTGACTGATGCCGTACGGTGACATATAGTTATTACATCCTCGTCCTTAAGCCTCTTGTGGCACTGTGCTTGTGGATAGACAAATGGCAATCATACCACACTTGATTTAGATTTTATAATTTAGATCTTAAATTAAAAAAAATAGTATTTGATTAAAAAATCATAATTTTTATTCTATTGATATATAAATATAAAACATTGCTAATGTTGCAATACACATCAATAATGTGATGCAGTTGTATGCAAGTTTCAAAGATATATATGTGAAAGGGTACAGAATGTTTAAACAAGAAGACAGGAAGAAATAAAACTCATCTTTGTCAAAATAAATACCTGTTTCTCTACTGTTTTTATACGCCCGTTTACGGCACGTTTTATAGTATACCATTGTCCGTCTGTCCGTCCGTCCGTCGTCAACATTTCGGACAATAACTCAAAAATGCTTTCACCAGTTCATGAAACTTTGGAGAATTGTTTATATCTATTGACGAAAGCTCCCTTTCGATTTTTATCAATTTTAGATTTTACGTTTCCGAGCTATGGGATTTTATTCATAAAAAAATGGTGATTTACCAGTTTTCGGACTATAACTCAAAAATGCTTTGAACAATTTTCATATAACTTTGGTGAATTTTCTATATATATTGACATAAGTTAAACTTTCGATTTTTTAAATGTCTGATTTTACGTTCTGGAGTATTGGGACTTTATTCATAAAAAGGGGGTGTCAATTTTAACTTTAACCATTGTAACTCAAAAATGCTTTGAGCAGTTTTCATGAAACTTTGGTGGCTGTTTATATCTATTGAAATAAACACTCTTCTGCTTTTTTTTTAATTTCTGAAATGACATTGCGGCGTTATGGAACTTTGGAGCTTAAAGGGCGACGGGCGTATCGATCATGCGCTCATGGCGTAGCTTTCTTTATTCATTTTGCTATAAAGATATAAATTCGTGACAATAATCTTCAAATAAAAAAAATAAAGAGAATATTTGTTTAGACAGGGCAAGTTTTAAGAAAAGTGTGGGTAGTTTTATATTGGTTCATTTGCTCTGCTAAATTGACATATCTGAATACAGATTTCCAACAGTGTTCCATTATTATAGCCTGAAAAACAAATGAAAATTACAAAACTAATAGTGTCAAAGTGGGATTTTATGTAACATTTAAATATATTTGGCAATAATTTTCTTTCATTTCGCTATAAAGATATAATTTCTTGTCAATAATCTTCAAATTATTTTTTCAACTGATAAAACAGTTGACCACTTTAATTGTTCTTAATGAGA